CCCCAAAACCCCAAAACCCCAAAACCCCAAAACCCCTTAGGTACATTTGAAGGTTGAAATCATATAGAACGCAGCTAGCAGTTGATTTTGCTTTTTTAATTTTTAGATAAAGATTAGTTTGAAGTTAGTTTTGGGGCAAACTATTTGGATGGAGTTTGAGCTTAGTTTTGATTTAGGACAATGAGAGGATTGTTTAACGATGTTATTCCGATATGAGGTATTGAAAGATGTAAGTTTGTTAATACTCTTTCAGGAATTGGTAGAATCAGCATTTGAAGGCGGATTTTAGAGGAAGCTCCAGAATCATATTCTTTATTCATTTTATACCTTCTTTCAGTCTATAGATAGTTAGTTTATCATTTAGCAATTTTTGGTGATGCTTACCTGAATTTCTTGGCTCTCTCTAAACCATCTAAGTCCTTGATAGACAGGTCTCAAAATCTCCCATGCATTTGCCACATCTTTTCTCCACTCAGCTACTCCATCACGACTAAAAATAGTGGACAAAATATGCCCATCTGGTTCAATTTCTTGCTTAATATACCAATTTTCTCCTTTAGGATCGACATTACAGTGAAAGATGCCAAGATAATCGATATAGCCTATTAAGTTACTCCAAGGGTCAAATTTAGTCTTCAATTTCTCTTGATTGTAATCCTCAGAGTACTTTCTTCATAGAGTCTTATTTCCGAAAAAGTTATATGGGTGATTTGAATCAGTAACATCTGATGCTAATTTCCGAAGATTCTACATCTAAGAAGTTGCACTTACTTTCTTGTAACAAGAAGGATTTGGATTCTTTGAGATACTTCTTACTAAATTTTATGTCATCAGATTATGATGAGGACACTTACCTTTAGCATCGAAAGCTCGATCACTGAAGGTCTTCCTTATATATGAAGCAGATCTTCTCTTTTGCTTCCAAAGGGCTTTATCCTGCATAATTTCTGGGTGATACACCTTCTTGTTTATTTCTCTGATAGTATCTGATTTAGCACTCATAAATTGTTGTAAAATTGTGTATTGAAGCATCGGGCTCATTTCTTTGCAATCTGATATCTCTATTTGTCGAATTTCTGGGCAGCCCTGATTCACTTCTTGATGAGTTTCATTCAGGATATCATCGAACTCATTTGACCAGCTGAACAGCTGGTAATCTTCATCTTCATGTCATCTTGCATTACTAATACAAGATTGCTTTGGTTTGGAACATATCAAGCTGTCCTCAAGCTTTCCGGAAATAAGCCTGGGAATTATGGTAAAGTTCTTAATAGGGTTCTTATACTTCTCAGACGAAGTCTGTAAAGACTTCGTCTGAGGTATGTTTATCTGATTGCATGGAGATTCTTCATAATTCTCCTCTCCACTGTCTTCTCTGGGAATGTTATGTGAATGATCTGCTAACTTCAAAGTGTTGAGTTTCTTCCTAGTACTTGAAAGCCCTTTCGTTGCATCATTTATGAGTTGAATTGCCCTAGGTTTATTCACAGGGTGAGATTCATCCATTTTTACAAAATTTTGATCGTCTTCTTCAATAAGGGAGATAAATTTTGTTGATACACCATGGCCTACATTCTCGTTGATATTTATATGTCTTTGAAACATATTTTGTGGCGAAAGTGACTTTCGGAGTGTTCTGACCTCTGCAATTCCTCTCTTTTTAGATACAGACTTTCAAAGTGTCTTTTTGACCTTCAATTTTTGTGTTTGAAGTGTGCCATGAGATCCTTTTATAGTAAACTTTGCAGGTTCTGAAGTATTTGTCTCCGCAGTCGTTCAATTATTATCTTTTAAAAGACTCTTCTTCGTTCTAAAATTAAACTTTAAAATACTTAGATTTCTCTTTTTTGAGCTTTGTCTTAGTCAAATCTGCTACTGAAGAAGGTAATTTCTCTCTCTTCTTATAAACAGAACGAAGATTATCAATTTCTGCTGATATAATTTTACCATTTTTGGCCATCTTCAGATTTGAGCCTGAACTGAAGTTTTTCATACATTTTGGGGCCTTCTTGTTTTTCATGGGTGAACTGAACGAGAGCCCTGACTTCTTCTTGTATAATGAATATTTCTTCTTTATGAAACTCTTGCCGTCAAAGCTATACTTTAAGTAGGGGTCTTACCTGTTGTTAATTTTTGTGAATCAGATCGTTACTAGAAGTCTTCTATAGAGAAACCTTAATATCCAACATTTTGGAATTTCCCGTACGAAAGAAATTGTTGATGAGAATAAACTTAACAGATGAGAAAATCAACCTCCAGTATTATGCTGAAGATGGGCTTTTAGAGATGAAATACGAGGGAAAACTCTGTTAAGAGGTATGCTTGACGAGGAATATACCTTTATGTATTGTGTTGAGTTCTTCATCCTCCTTTGATACTTCTTTTGTTCCTCTTCTTTGGAGATCTTACTGACTAAAAACATTATAAAATACCCTACAGCAGCTGAATGCTTCAATGCTTGTCATAGTCTCGGACAGGATTTGCTTCTTTGGCCTTGAACTACCCGGAGAAACTCGGTTTTTATGCTTAGAATTTGATAAGGAGTTTTGGAGTGACATTTTGTAAAAATAAATTTATAATTATCGATCTAGCATTATTTCTCTTCTAATGTAACTCAATAATAAATTTATCAGCTGGGGTTTTGGGGTTTTGGGGTTTTGGGGTTTTGGGG